GGTTTGGGTCGTGGTGGCGATTGGATCGATTTTTTTTTTTTTTTTTCCTTCCCGAAGGTCTCTCGCTCTCTCTGCTCTAACGTTCGCGCAAGTGAAATGGAGAAGAAGAAGAATTTTTTTTATTTAATTGTAAAGCGTATTACTAGAATACGTTTTATACATATTTAATTGTAAAACGTATTCATAGAATACGTTTTTATTTATTTATTTTTTTTATAAATTGCATTTAAAAATGTATTATAATTATATGTTTTTTAATATTTTTATATGTGATGTGTTTTATTGAAAACGCTCCTTTTAATGAATGTTTTTTTAGTTAATTAAAAAATGTATTCCTAATATACGGTTTAAAAGATTTTTTTTTAAAATTAATAACGTATTACAAAAATTCATTTTTTAAAACCCTAAAAATCAATTTTAGGGTTTTAAAAAACGTATTTGTGAAATACAGTTTATAATTATTAATTTTTATTCAATTCGACTCTTTTTCAAAGGAAATAAATATTTTTAAAATTTTACAAAATTAAATAGAAAATATATTATATGAATACGTTTTACTAATAAAATGTTATTAGAAAAACGTATTCATAGAATACATCGTTTTTATTTTGGTCCAGTCCTTTTTTTTTTGTCCACTTGTTTTTTTTTTAAATAAATAACCTAGCCCCTCCGAGTGGCTTTTCGAGTCCATCTCTTGTTATGATTAAGAAAACCATAAATTATTCAAAAAACTACTATAAAACGGTGTAATAGTCCCCGTCATTCTTGTTATATACCATGTCATTTAAAGTACCTATGTTATTCATTGAATTTTCCAGATAAATACATGATATTTAATAGTAAATTTCATCTAATCAATTATCATTTATTTAATAATTCAGTGAAAATATAACTTGATTATAAAAATTATAAGTTCAGTTACATACTAAGTATTCTAATAAAGTTTAACTGAATCAAATTTTTTGAATAAAATTATTCATATAAAATATATTTAATCAAATAAGAAAAAAAACACAAGAATGACATATAAGAGGCATAATCATCTAAAAAGAAAAGTGGAAAGAAACTTAAATCATGTTTAAATAATGATTCATTGATTTAATGTAAAAAAAAAATTAACTTATTTTTTGCTAAAATAAGAATAATATTGGGCTAATATAATGTAACGTATGCTAAAATATATTTTTATCAGTATAAATATGGCATAGTCGAAAAATTAGACTGGTTTGGAGCCCACCCTAGCCTTTGGGGTGGCTCCGCCCCTAGGTTTAGAGCAATTTGATATGAAATATTTTAGTTTTTTTTGTGTGTTTGATCGAGATTTATCTCAATGAAACAGAAACTAAAATAAAAAGGTTTTTATACCATGTGTTGATATAAAATATTTTAGTTTTTGCGTGTTGGACCCTCACTCAGTATAGGCGTCGGCTCCTCAGGGTGGCTTTTCGAGTCCATCCCTTGGCGTTCGTTTCACTCTCGATTGAAGACTGCAGGAGCTCAAATCTGGGCTAAGACGTGTCTCTTCGCCAGATCTGACTAGCCGCTTGAGTAAGGTGAAGTTTTTAGGCCTCGAGCTTAGATCTATTGCTCTCTTTTGTTAGAGATTGTTGAGTTTGGCTCGGTGTGGGATGTTGTGTACAAATTGTTATATTTTACCGAGTACCGAATCAAAAGATTCGTTCCCCGGGTCGATCTCACGAGGAAGGCAGTTCGGAATTTAGCTTTGGTATCGATTACACAGAAAAAGAAAATAAAATCCTAAACACTCTAATCAGATAAAGGGTTTGAATAATTACTAGCTAAGAAATAATAAAAAGCAGTAATCTACCTAAATATACGAACTAGAAAGCGATAAAGAAGCTAGGGAATCGGGGATAATTTATTCAAGTTCTTAGCAAACCGGGCAATCAATTGTTCGGTTCGAGATTGACACTCTCGCTTAAACATCTAGCGGTTCGCTCCCAATAACTTTTCGTAACAAGGGATTGAACATAGACGAACAAGCTCGAGCATACAACACATGTCAATTATCCCAGTCTCAATACTTTTCGTAACAAGAGATGGGTTATCGACAAGTACGTATTTCAATCCAAAACCTATAGACTATTCAGTCACGAAATCATCTATCTCATGCGAGCCTAGGTCTACGACTTCTCCCCTTTCGGTTCTAAAAGTCGTTAATTCAATTAAAAGGTGTTTAATCAACTAATCATATAGAATCAACAAACCCTAACTCGACAAATTAACATTCAATTGATACCAATTGCAAGATCGAAGTGTCACCCTTCGATTATATCAAGTTATCAAGCAAGAATTAATTAACCCTAATTAAAGCAACTCGCACAAGCATGAACAGATTAAAGCCCAATAATAATGAAATTAATCAAGAACAGTCATCCCCTATCCCTAGCAGAAAGAAATTAGCTACGTAAAATAAATTCAACACAATAATTCATTTCTCCCAATTCAACGATTCTTCATGAATTAAACAAGAGAGAAAAGAAACTTACAAATAATCTCAAATCCCAGTGTTGAATCTGAATTACAAGCTTAATCCTTGATAGCTAAGAAGAAGAAGAAGAAAAATTAGAAAATAAAGGTGAAAAGAAAAAGAACAACGAAGAAGAAGAAAAGGAGGGAGTATTCTGTCGTTTTTCCCGACCCTAGGGTTTTCACCCCAGAAGGGAGAATAATCCTTGATCAAAATCCCGAACGCGCTTATATACTCATCAAAATGGGCCACGGCGCGGGACATGGCATCACGGCGCGAGGAGGGGCATTGCCGCGACGCGAGGCATGGCCGCGGCGCGGGGGTTCTGCGCGGCGTGGCAGGAGTGGTCTTCACGGCGCGAGGGAGGAGGCTTCCGCGGCGCGAGAGCATTCCACGGCGCGAAGGAGCTGCTGGTGTTGTGCCTCTATCGACGCGTGACGGTCCCCGCGAGCTGTGGCGCGGCGCGAGGGATCTGCAATGCCGCGGCGCGACGGACAGCACGGTGTGGTAGGCGAAGCAACATCTTCTGAAGGCCCGTGTCGGGCATCGCGGTGCGAAGGCCTGGCGCGGCGGGTCCGAGCAGCTTCCTTGTCTTAATGTTTCGGGCCCATTCGAGCTCGTGTGATATCGGAATTTGATTTCGATTTTTCCTGTGTGTCGTTAACGAAACGCTCTAAATAATTACACTTGCATGGCCAATTTTTGCTGGAAATCCGGTTCTCCCGAGGATTTCAACCTGCACATCAAAAAATGAAAGAAAAACGAAGGAAACTGGAAAAACACACGAAAAACACCTAAATACTCACAAAGATGCGACATACAAAATAAACGACAAAACGACTCTAAAACCACATAAATGACTCAAAATGGGGGAAAAAGAACGAGAAAATAGACACGAAAAACGTAACAAAAATGGGACAAACATGGGATTTGACTCGAGTTCTAGTTCAAGTGGTTGAAGCGGTGTGCTCGCAAGTTGCAGGGGAGGTAGTATTCTATTGTTAAATAGGTGTGTGTTTTTGTGTTGTTGTTTGGTTTTGTTGTGTGTTTGGGTATGTGGGTGTGTTATTCTCCATTATTTGTGTCCTAGTTTGGGGTTGCGACTCTAGTATACTTTGGAGCAATAGTACATCGTTGAGTAGTCCTCCGCTAGTTTTAGTTTAATAGTTGATTGATTCAGCTAGTTGGTTGTCCTAGTCTGTAAATATTTGTGTTTATTTAATTATAATCTATCATTTAAAAAAATGATTGTTCTATCCTATCGTTTAAAAAAAAATGATTGTCCTATTCTATATGCAGACAAATTTAACTTCCAATAAGACACCAATTACCATAAAGTCAACAACTTAATTTTGCCTACATTTTTTATAATTAAAAAAAGTAAGGATTCAAATTAGTATGAAATTTTCATCCGCACGCGTAGACTTTATACCTTTTCTTGTTTAAAAAATAAGGAATTGATTGATTAATTCATATAAAATCTTTTTAATCAAATAAGAAAAAAAAATACAAGAATGATATTAAGAGGCGTAATCATCTAAAAAGAAAAGTGGAAAGAAACTTAAATCCTGTTTAAATATATGATTCATTGATTTAATGTAAAAAAAAAAAATTAACTTATTTTTTGCTAAAATAAAATTGATATTGGGCTAATATAATGTAACGTATGCTAAAATATTTTTTTATCAGTATAAATATGGCATAGTCGAAAAATTAGACCGGGCTGGAGCCCACCCCAGCCTTTGGGGTGGCTCCGCCCCTGGATTTAGAGCAATTTGATATGAAATATTTTAGTTTTTTTTTGTGTGTTTGATCGAGATTTATCTCAATGAAACAGAAAATAAAATAATGCGTTGATATAAAATATTTTAGTTTTTGCGTGTTGGACCTCACTCGGTATAGGCGTCGGCTCCTCCGAGTGGCTTTTCGAGTCCATCTCTTGGCGTCCTTTTCACTCTCGATTGAAGACTGCAAGAGCTCAAATATGGGCATAGACATGTCTCTTTGCCAGATCTGACTAGCCGCTTGAGTAGGGTGAAGTTTTCAGGTTTCGGGCTTAGATCTACTGCTCTCTTTTGTTAGAGATTGTTGAGTTTGGCTCGTTGTGGGATTTGACTCGATTTCTGGTTCAAGTGGTTGTAGCGGTGTGCTCGCAAGTTGCAGGGGAGGTAGTATTATATTGTTAATTAGATATGTGTTGTTGTGTGTTTGGGTATGTGTGTGTGTTATTCTCCATTGTTGGGAAAAAAATTTAGACCAACCTGAACTTTGCATGGTTTGTGAAAATGCAACCTAATCTTTTTATTTTGATAAATAGCAACCTGAACTACACGGGTTTGGTAAATAACAACCCCAACGTGTCGGATCGCCGGAAATTTGAAATAAAGGGGTGTTTTGGTAACTTTAAAAAAAATTAAATACAAAATCAAAAAGAAAGAATAAAAATCGAGACTTTGCCTTCTCTTCATTTTGCCTTCGCTTTCAATTTCTCCCGGTCCCTGCAGATACAATGGAGTGGCGACAAACCGCCGAATTCAATGTGGAACGTTTCTGCCGCTGTGGGAAGAAGGTGGTGACGAGAACATCATGGAGCGACATCAATCCTGGAAGAAGATATATTTCATGTGAAAAATTTAAGGTGTGTTCTTCAAATTTTAAAACCCTAATTTTTTTAATTTGGGTGAAATCGATATTGGTGTTGGACATGGTGTATCTGAATGGGTGCATATAAATGAAATGGAGATGGGTGTATATGAATCATGGTGTATATAGATGAAACCGAGATGTGAATCAATCTTCTGCTTACACCCTTCATGCTTTCTCTCTGTTTTGTGTGCAGATAAAAATATGTAAATGAATTTTGAAACCATAATTTGTTAAAAGTTGATTTGCAGTTGAAGAAGATTAAATTTTCATGTGAAGGAGATTTTTAATCATGTAGAAGGAAGGAGGTTGCCCTTATTTTGTGTGGATTGAGAAACCACTTTGTCCTAGGGCTTGCCAAATCATTCCCGGGCTGTTGAGACGAGCAAATAAGTTTGAAGCTGAGGCTGAGATGCTCCAAGCAGATATTCATGATCTTGAAGTGGAACAAAAACAAATGTTGGTAAAGGTTGAGAAACTTGAAGCAACTATAAAGAGCAAGAGATTTAGGGAGCGATGTTTGTTCATAGCGCTTTTTTTTCATGTGTCCTAATTTATTGTAAGGTGTAGTCTAATGTAGTAGTTTGTTCATGGTACTTCTGTTTTCTTGGATTTTTATTCAGTGTGTTGCAATGTAGTAGTGATGGGATCCTTTGCAGTTGTGAACAATATTTATTGTAATGTGAATTTGGGATTTGATTTCAATTGACATGTGTGTTCCTTCTGTTTTATAGTTGCTTCTGTTTTATAGTAGTGATGGGATCTTTCTATTTTGTAGTTGCAGATATACTATCACTTTCTTTCCTGAAAATTGTGATTGCATTGACACCTAAGCCACCAAACCAACAACAAAACTAAACAACCATTAAGAACTCTTGGCTTATCAACTCTGAAGGTTAACAGCAAAAAATCTTGACTAAACAACAAAACTCTTGCAATATCATTCCCCTAGTTCACACAGTAAACCAACTAAAGCACCTCAGCCACTGAGCATATCATTCCCCTAGTTCACACAGTAAACAAAACTAAACACACCTCAACCACACAAGCACTCTTGCAATAAACCAAAACAGAAAACAAGAAGTGCAGAATACTACAACACATGGAAGTGCAAAAATTTTATATCATTAGCAAAACATCAAGTGTTTTCATTCATAAGAGTTTCAATGGTCCAATCCACAAGAAAGTGCAGAAGTATTTCATATCAATACATTAACATCCAACTAAAGTCTCAAAAGTACATATAACATGCCAACTACAATCAAAGATCCCTAAATTTCCCAAAACAATCCCAAACATGATTGGTTATTGTGTCCCCTGCACATTTTGATTCTTGGATGATGTTCCTTTTTGGTTGGAAAAAGTAGCTCCATGAAATACCCCAGGTGGCCTCCATAATGTCTTCTTCTGGTTTTTCATTTTTTCAGGAACAAGCCTTTTCACCTAAACAAGGAAAGCAAGTGTATAAAAATAAACAAAAAATAAAAATTTAAACTAAAACCTTCATAAATGTTTACCTGGAATTTTTGCTTGTTTAATCCAAGAGTTTTCATAGTCCCACTGCTTGATATAGGAATATTACTACTCTGCTACAATGAAAATACATAAATATTCAATGAATGGTTTTTCAGAAAAATATTTATAACACATGAGGTAATATAATATAATACCCGGGAATGTGAGACTTGTGTACCATGACTCTGAAGTATGAAAGACTCTTGAGATTGTACATTTTCCCCATCAGATATATTTCTCCTTTTTTCCTACATTTAGACATTCAAACATTCACACACTTTATAAAGTAAACAAATAGATAAATAATTACAAAGAAATAGGCTGAAGTAGTTACTACTTACCTGCTCATTATTTGTTGCCTCAATTGTAGCTACCTGCTCCTGTTGAGATGAATGGTTGAGCTTTTTCAGTGGGCACCCTCTCATATTGTGGTTCTCCTTGTGGCATAAAGAATATTTCACAGTGATCCCTTTTTTACTGAGTTTTACTTTAGCTTCCTTCTTTTGTTTAAGCTTATCTTGTACCTCATTAGGGGTTTTTCTCCTGTTGTTTTTTTTTGCCTATCAGACATCTTACAATGTGGAGGAGGTTGTAGAGGATGCACATCAACATGTGGTCATTCATCAGGTGGACTTAATGCCCCCATCATTGTTGAGTAGGCCCTCAAAAAGGCCTATTTTGAGTACCAACTATCCACATAATCCTCTGGATCATGTCCCAAAAAAAACAAGCCACTAATTGCATGTTCACATGGTATCCCTGTAAGCTCCCATTTTCTGCATGAACATGTTCTTTCTCCAATATGCACCTTAAACTTGTTTCCATAAGGCCTTCTACCTTAAACTCATGAACCCCATTCCAGTTTGCAATGAAATCCATGGACCTTTTTTTGAGTTCTTCCAACAACTTCACAATTTTGGGGCATATAACTCCATTATAATTCATCATTTGGTCCCTCCTCATATACATTTTCTTCATGAGTATCATCCTAATAGTTTCAAGCATATGAACTATAGGACTACTTCTAGCTCTCAGAATTAAAGAGTTACAACTCTCACTCAGGTTGTTCAACAAAATGTCACTTTTAGCTTGGAAACCACAATGTGACTTAGACCATTGTGCTGCAGGTTTTTTAACTAACCAGTCAAATGCTTGTTTATCCCTTTTTTTCTAGTTCAGTCATGGCAGAATGAAAATCAACAACTATTGTAGACCTGGCAGCCCTCCACAAGATGCTTTTCAGAGCAACACCTTTAAATGAAGCCTTGAAATTGTTGTATAGGTGCTGAACACAAAATCTATGTTCACAACCGGGCATAAGAGTCTCAACAGCATTAATTAGACCCTTTTGTTTGTCAGACATTATAGTCCATCTGTGGTTGTTTTGAATACAAAGATCTGACTTCAGCAACTCTATAAACCAGTGCCAAGATTTTGTGTTTTCTTGTTCCACCACTGCATAAGCAAATGGATACATGCAGTTATTTGCATCTATACCAACTGCTGTCAACAAGATTCCACCACAAGAGGTTTTTAAGTGACATCCATCTAAACAAATAACAGGTCTACATCCTTCCCTAAAACCCTTCTTCAAAGCACCCCAACAAATATACATTCTTTTAAATATTGGCTTACCTTCCACTAACTTGCTCTTAATTTTGACTGTGGTATCAGGATTTGATTTTATCAATTCCTTTGCATATGACCACAACATTCCATATTGCTCAGCATCTATCCCAACACCTATGGCTTTCACAATTTTCTTGGCCTGATACATCTTCCATTTGTTGAAAATCAGCTTCACTTCCCTTTGCATTATTGCCACCATACTCTCCACTGGCCATCTTGGATCACTTAGCAGCTTATCTTTGTATTGATTAGCAATCCAAGTAGCAGTAGCATGAGAGTTTTTTTGTGTCCTTGGACATATGTGCCTACCATTGTAGGTTTTAACTTGGACAGTATCTTCATTTCCAAGCTTAGATGCATAGATGACCCATGGACATGATTTATGTTTACACTTTGCCTGCACCTTGTAGCTAAAGTTAATAGTGAAAGTGACTTGCCTACCTTGCATAATGGAGTGATTTTTAACAGCCTTCCTAAAAGTAGGAATGTCAGGGAATTGCATTCCCAGCTCAAAGCTAGGATTTTTCATGTCTAATTCCTTATTAAATACTGGGTGCTTGTTTTGCTGTTTTCTCAAATTTAGATCAGGGACAGGAATGTTAGAGCTCTCAGTAATGCCATTATTCAAATGAAGGCCCCCCCATTCCACCTCCTCATCAACATTACCATCAAAGAGAATATCATCTTCATCATACATCTCTTCATCACTCATATAATGCATCAGAATACTCAGAATCTGAACCAACAGATTGCTCATAGTCACTATCAAGCTCTACCTGATCAGTTATGTTCTCTAACCCCTCCCCATCTACATTGTCTACTTCTGGTAGAACCTCCTCCTCTACATTATATGCATCACATAAATCAATATCCCCACAATAAGGTAAAGGTTCATCTATGACAGGAAGTTCAGAAAATATTCCATTCTCCATCTCATTTTCATGTTCAACATATATGCCAATCATCTTGTTCTTATCAACCCACTGAACCATGTTGCAAACATCATTATCAGTCTCTAGGATAAAAAGGTCCTTGCATTCATGTATTTAAGTTTTACTACAGTGAAATGATTTAATCATAGATAAACATATATCCTTAGCCATACACTTAAGCTCAAGCAATGATATTTCATCAGGATCACAAAAATCAATATGAGATATACCACAATTCGGGCCCATGTAATGTGTACCGTCTAGGTTAGGCAATGAACCATTGTGATAGAACCTAATTGTAAATAATGCGGAGTTAACACCTGTAAGAACAAAAGTGTTTCAACACATTGATATGAACTTATTTCAAAAATCATAAATTGGTCGACAGAATCCATAAACCAAAACTCATTTACAATTTGGTCGACAGAATACATAAACCCAAACTCAAAAATCATAAATTGGTCGACAGAATAAATAAACCCAAACTCAAAAATCATAAATTGGTCGACAGAATACATAAACTCAAAAGCACATACACTCACCGTAATTGGGCGTCATTCTATCGGAGGGAATGTCAGTCTCTTTATCAGGAATCTTCCAACCCATTTTTGAGTTGCAGAATGGCAAGTGAGCGTGATTTGAGTTGCAGAAATCTACCCTAATTTTCTGATTTGTGCATAATGCTCGAAGGAAAGAAAAAAAATGCCAGAAATTTGCACTAATTTCCCTAATTGTGCCTCAAAAATAGCAGAAAAACTGTGTATTGGGCGAAAGACAAGGATGCCCTTACAAATTAAATGATAAGACCAAAGTGCCCCTTAATAGACCAATCTGTAGCTCACCGGAGTAAGTTTTCGGTTAATTTTATGTGATCCGGCAAGTTGGGGTTGTTATTTACCAAACCCGTGTAGTTCAGGTTGCTATTTATCAAAATAAAAAAATTAGGTTGCATTTTCACAAACCATGCAAAGTTCAGGTTGGTCTAAATTTTTTTCCCTCCATTGTTTGTGTCCTAGTTTGGGGTTGCGACTCTAGTATACTTTGGAGCAATAGTACTTCGTTGAGTAGTCCTCCGCTAGTTTTAGTTTAATGGCTGATTGATTCAGCTAGTTAGTTGTCCTAGTCTGTAAATATTTGTATTTATTTAATTATAATCTATCGTTTAAAAAAAATGATTGTTCTATCCCATCGTTTAAAAAAAATGATTGCCCTATCCTATATGCAGACAAATTTAACTTCCAATAAGATACCAATTACCATAAAGTCAACAACTTAATTTTGCCTACATTATTTATAATTAAATAAAGTAAGGATTCAAATTAGTATGAAATTTTCATCCGCACGCGTAGACTTATATGTTTTCTTGTTTAAAAATAAGAAATTAATTGATTGATTCATATAAAATCTATTTAATCAAATAAGAAAAAAAAAACACAAGAATGACATATAAGAGGCCTAATCATCTAAAGTGAAAAGTGGAAAGAAACTTAAATCATGTTTAAATATATGATTCATTGATTTAATGTGATTAACTTATTTTTTGCTAAAATAAGATTAATATTGGGCTAATATAATGTAACCTATGCTAAAATACTTTTTATCAGTATAAATATATCATAGTCAAAAAATTAGAAGGGGTGGGCCCCTGGGTTTAGAGCAATTTGATATGAAATATCTTAGTTTTTTTGTGTGTTTGATCGAGATTTATCTCAATGAAACAAAAAATAAAATAAAAAGGTTTTTATACCATGTGTTGATATAAAATATTTTAGTCTTTGCGTATTGGACCCTCACTCCGTATAGGCGTTGGCTCTTTTGGGTGGCTTTTCGAGTACATCCCTTGGCGTCCGTTTTACTCTCGATTGAAGACTGCAGGAGCTTAAATCTGGGCTGAGACATGTCTCTTCGCCAGATTTGACTAACCGCTTGAGTAAGGTGGAGTTTTTAGTTCTCTGGCTTAGGTTTATTGCTCTCTTTTGTTAGAGATTGTTGAGTTTGGCTCGTTGTGGGATTTGACTCGAGTTCTGGTTCAAGTGGTTGTAGGGGTGTGCTCGCAAGTTGCAAGGGAGGTAGTATTCTATTGTTAAGTGTGTGTTGTTGTGTTGTTGTTTGGTTTTGTTGTGTGTTTGGGTATGTAGGTGTGTTATTCCCCATTGTTTGTGTTCTAGTTTGGGGTTGCGACTCTAGTATACTTTAGAGCAATAGTACTTCGTTGGGTAGTCCTCCGCTAGATTCAGTTTAATAACTGATTAATTCAGCTGGTTGGTTGTCCTAGTCTGTAAATATTTGTGTTTATTTAATTATAATCTATCGTTTAAAAAAAATGATTGTCCAATCCTATCGTTTAAAAAAATTGATTATCCTATCTTATATGCAGACAAATTTAACTTCACACCAATTACCATAAAGTCAACAACTTAATTTTGCCTACATTTTTTATAATTAAATAAAGTGAGGATTCAAATTAATATGAAATTTCCTCCGCACGCACGCGTAGACTTTATACGTTTTCTTGTTTAAAAAATAAAGAATTGATTGATTGATTCTATTGTTTAAATAATAGTGGAAAACGTAAAAAACAGATATACATTAAATCCCACATGCTAAATATTT